ATAATAATAATAATAATAATAATAATAATAATAATAATAATAATTAGTGTCATTATTATTGTTATTATTATATTATCATTGTTTTTGCAATTATTGTTAATTTTCAGTTGCAAATTAAATCTTAGGCTGAAGATAAATGAACTGCACAAAGTCAGAATTTGCTGTCACAACTCAAAATAACAGTAATAGCAATGAAATGTTTATTGTTGCGTATAATCGTAATTATGATGAAAAATTTTTTATATTTGACGGATGTAATTCAAAGCGCGTAAGAACTAAAAATAATATCTCTAAAGTTGCTTATAATTTAAGTTTTACATATTTATAATCTGTAATTAATGAGCTTGTCTATAAATCACCTGGGAACTATCCTTTACATAGATGCATTTTTTATTCTTGTTATTAAGTAATATTTTATGCACACAATTTCATCTTTTAATTCACATTTTGCATTCTTTCATCAAATAACTTTAGTTGTGTTCCAAGATTGAAATTGAATGCATAATTAATTAGGTACTTTCAACATTTGTATTTGTGTGCCTATATGTGTGCACTTATGCTTCTTTGCAAATTGAGTGAATAGTATTACATATAAATGCAAAGAAATGAGTATAACTGCTCATTTTGATTTTCCAAGTATTCACAGCGGAAGCCTAAAGCCTTGCAAAATTATCCAGTACATGGAAAAGCTTTATAAATTTAATATTTAATATGATTCGAGAATGCATTTTTGTCAAAAAATTGTACAAAATACATGAATGGTCACAGATTATGAAAGAAAAATAAATGTACAGATGGGTTGATAAACAGTTCAGTAGGCATAAAATCAAATTTTGCAGTCACATCTAAATTTGTTACTGCCAATAAACTCACACTTCACATAAAATTTAGCTATTGCATTTAAATAACTGAATCCTATTTGTATGATTACTGAAATTGGAATTTTTCATTTGATATCACTCAATCTATTTTATCGTTGAATTCAGATACTTTTGTCAATGTTTCTATTTTATGGCTTAATTTTTATCTTTCAAATTAAATTATTAGCTCAAATATAGTAGTTTCTTTAAAATTTATTACAACATCCTAATTCATATCAAAATTGTATCATTAAGTTTATGAGTGCTCTTATTCTCCCTTCTATAAATCATATAATTTGAAACCGATTAATGTTATTTCATTTCAGGATGCATAACTTCATTTACTTCATTGCAGTGTCCTTATTCCTAATATGTAGTTCCATCTTAATAAGTCAGACTCCATTTCCAAATTAGGTTTACAAGATTCTTTTCTTTGCTTTTATTTTTATCATCAACAAAATATGTTATAGTCAACTGAAAATTTTTGAAGGCTTCTAGGCTAACCAGCATTTACGACGATGTCCTTTTTTCATGTATTTGATAGATTTGCTTAGTAGCGTTCATAATAGTAAAATAATGGAATTAATCAAATATGATCTTTTTAAAAAAAAACAATGATACTTTGCCTTAGAAAGAATTTTTTACAGGGTCATTTTTCTTCAGAAGTCTAAAATACTATATAGCAACAAGTAATTAGTAAAGAGGGAATAAAATTGAGGAAGACGCATAACAATCTTGGAGAACAAAATTTTCTTAATCATCCACATCTATTTAGTATTTGAATAAACTTTACTTCAAAAGATTTGTTTTTATTTAGTCTAAATTGGTTTTAAACTTTAAAGGTCAAAAATTACTAGTAAATGGGTCGAAATTGCCAGTTTAAAATACAAATCTTAATTTTTTTCAAATATGACAAGATCATCATCTCATCAACAACTTGAAATTATATGAGAACAAATCCTAAGTCTTTAATTTTGAATAAGTGATCAAAAAATAATATATGAAAAAGATACAGTCATAGTTTTAAGTTGAAGAAATTAAGCTATCAAGCATTAAATGTCTGAAAACAAAAGTTCAGATTGAAATCTATTATTTCTTAGTGGATTTCAAAACATTTCAACCGGACTTATCATATGTTTGCAGCGATTAGCAAAAATAAATGTCTTAAATGATTTTATAGGCTTAGATATTTGAAAATCGGTCCAAATGAATTAATCTCTTCTCTCTTCGACAGTATTCACATTATGATTATTTTGATGGCAGCTTCATACAACTGTACGCATATAAAAATTTCGAAACGTGAGTACTGTAATTGCTTGAAATGAAGTCAAGTTCTCTTGAATTTTCGCAGCATCTCACAGGTAAAAAATGATTGTAATTTCAGAATAATTCTCAAAATCACTGAAAAATGAGATAAAGAATTACGTAAAACTGAGATCAGCAAATAGCTTAGACTAAGAAACAGAGATCAAATCATTTGGATTTATAACTTGGTCAGACATCTCTTTCAGAAATAAGTGGGAAAGACAGTCTTTTTAAAATTTCTTTTCATATGCAAGCAAAATATCGCAAAGTCATGCATATTGAGATATTTCCAAACAGACTATGAGAAGACAGTCAAATGAAATGTAACTCCACGAAATAAGAGAAGAGAACTAAAATTTAATTTATAAAATGTCTTGCAGTCCTATCTTCTGCATATATAGTTATCTTTCTTAACACTGAATATTTAACAATACTGTTCTTGTGCTTCACTTTTTTCAGGCTTAAATCTCACACTTCATAATTAGATTTGTGAGTGCTTCTTTTTCCAATCTTTTTCATCAACAGCAAGAGATAAAAATAAATTATCTCTTGCAAATTGAACCATGTTTGAAATGCAAAAGAATTATCTCAGGAAAACATGAGGTTTCATGGGTGATACAATTGCATAAATATGCCATCCCTTCATTTCTGCTTGATTTTTATAGCATGAAACGAAAATTCATACAAGCGTCCTTAAAATTGTAAAAATTGCTATGCATTAAAAAAATGTAAAGTTTTTCTTTACATCAGCTTCTCATATGTACATATCTGAGAAAACACTATCTTCTGTGAATGCATATATAGAGTTTTCGTGCAACTTGCTTACTACTTATTTATTATTTCTGAAAATACTCAACTGAATTACAAATGCTTTGACTCAAAAGAAAAAAAAATTAATTAAAAATGAAGCCTCAAAAAGATTAAAGTTTAATAAGAGCTAACAAAAATTACTAAAATGATTACGCAATTAATAATTCTATTTTGCAACGAAAATTTTGTCTTGATTTTAATAAGGACTTAAATGTCAAGATCCAATCCCTATGACTTAGATAAAGCAGCTGTTGGTGATAATGAGAAAAAAATCATCCAGCAATTCTGATTCAACTTCCGAGCACTGACACAATAAACTCTAATAAACTGATGTTCACGTCAAGTACAGTAATGAATAACATATTCTAATTGATCGTAGCTTAATAAAATACTGGTCTTTTCAAGTGAGGAAGGTCAATTTTCAGGTTTGATTTGTCTTGTCAGGCCATATGGAGTCATGCCTTTTTGTGATGCACATTTATTGGTACCGTACTGCAGAGGGATTACCATTTCACCACGACGTATCACAGATTCTGAGAAAAAACGAGGGCAACCTTGAGAAATTTTGACAACCCAAGATGGAAATGATACTGGAGCACTTTTCGATTGGGCCTGAAAATCATTTGATTACTTATTTATTAGTGTTTGTAAGGACTTGTTTGAGTTCCTCATCAAAATTATATATATATATAATCGAGGCACACTGCCTGTACCTGCCCCGCCCTCAGATTTGTTGCGCTGATCACCGTTGCTACATACTCGTTTGATCCACGGCGAAGAATGAAATGCTTTCGAACTTCTTTAGAACTATCGTATGCCTCGACGTGGTCTGATATACTAATCTCCTTCGCATAGCGTTTGTGGAAGTTCGTTACACCTCATTATGTTTTTTAGTATAGTCAGAGCTTCTTCTTGTCTTGCGTTGCTAGATAGTCCACTGTCATCAAACGTTCCCCACAATGTTGGCACAGACCTTTCTCACCTCCAAACATATTTCTATCTTGAAGGTTACAGTATCGTGCCTCATCTTGCGGGATAATGTTTCCGTATCGCAGTTATTATGATGAATCAGCTATGGACGAGATTTTATTTGTCCGCATCTTGTACAGTCTTGCATAGTGAGTTTTCCTTTCTATTTCGCTATACAAGAACGCCTTCTGCGCTGCTAATACGTTTTCAACAGTAAGATTTTCTGCAAGGCTGTACTTAGTCTTTAGATAGGGTACAGTAATTGCCAAGTTCGTGTTATGAGCTTTCTCCTACTTCAG